TCAGACCCACTCTGGTTGATTAAAAAAATCCCAAGGCTAAATTTGAGAAGTGTCTTCAGATAAAGATTTACATTAAGTTCTTAAAGATGACTTAAAGTGATCTATGAATGCAAATATCTAGATCTCCAAAAAAGAAAAAAAAATAGAGCAAACACTTAGTAGAAGCATAGCACAAACATCCCCAGGTTTGACTATAATGAAGGTGGATACTGGAAAATCTAATGATGTCAGGATCTAAGATAAATTAAGTTAAAGTTTAGATTAAATAAAGTATTATGTAATATTTCACGAAATGTTCAAAGCTTAGTCATACTGAATTCAGTAAAAATGAGATCTAAACCAAAAGATACTACATAATATCTATTTGTGGGTACTTGAGAAGCTGTTGCTAATTTTAACATTGCCATTAAATTCAATCTAACATCTTTAGTAGAGATCTACAAAGGAAAAAAAATAATGGAATGGAATAAAATACTATGTGACAAATTAGCTGTTGGCACTATCCTTCATAATAATAGAATTATAAGCCAAGGAAATAATTAAATGAAGATACAAATGAAAATTAATGTTTTAAAGATGGTCATAATATAGAGGAAAATTATATTCAAACAATTGTGCATGAAAATAGAATAAAAATAATTTTATTAAAATGATCCTAAATTTTTCACCTACATGTTTATTAGAAAATAAAATAAATGCATACAGATAAACACACAAATACCTTTGGTTTAAATTTGTTTTAATGTTTTGTTAGATTGGTGACCTATTGATTCAGCAATATAGATCAAAACTCTCCTGCCTTTTCATCCTGCCCAACTATAGTCTATGTCCAATTCTAAAACCTCCAAAAGGATTACATCAATTAATCTGGGCAGGGGATGGAACACTTACTCTTTATCTTTTGGCATTCCGTGAGCATTAGAGTAACATGCAGATTACCTATCTTTTATTTCTTGCTCTTGTTATTTTACTGGACTACCTCCTTTACTGGACATTCCTCTCTTTAGTGACATCTTTTATGCTGTTTTATGTGTGTGGAAATTGTCATTTTTAACATGCTTCATCCTCTCGTATCTACCATTTTCCTTCAGACAGAGATTTTGTTATATTACCTGACTCACATACTATAGTATTACTGGTGAAAAGTTTGACTTTATTGAAAGGATTGCAGAATTTCACAATGCAACCCAGCCCTTTCTCTTCCTGTTTTTTTTTCAATTCTGAGTCCAATCTATTATCCATTTATAGTGTCTATTCAAGATATGAGTACTCATGCGAGTCAGACATAAACATTTGGTGAGCATAAATCTCCTTGTTTTATACTTTGTTTAATATTAATTGTAAGACAGCAGTCAAATTATTTATGTTTTTGAATCTTTGAAATGATCTTGTGTGATCTTAATACAGTCTAAGAGAACATTATGAGGGAAAAAAAGCTTTGAAGGTTAAATTTTATTCTATCAAATTACATGCTTTTTTACAATAAACAAACAATATACAAAGTGAGATCTTTTATTATATATACTTCAGTGAATTGTGTTATTTAAGATTTTAAAAATAGAATATCATTTGCAAGGTCTCCACACTCCTTTCCAATGCTTTCATCAAAAGTTCCATTGATAGATATATACAATTCTCTAATAAAGCATTGTGAATATGAGAAAGTATGTGTATGAGTAGTAAATTATTAATATTGACTTGATTGCCTTTTTTTGGTGGCATAACACCCATAATATTTCCCAACACTATTATTTAGTTTTTTTCCCTTTAATTTAGCTTCAAAAAAGATCCCTCAACACCCTCAAAATTTTGTCACATAGCATAGAACTCCTTTGTGTACACTGATTTAACTGTTTTTTCTGGTGTTGTTTCCTTTAGCTCAGTTTCCATTTCCTCACACAATGCTTTTGGGGCCATTATTTTAGAATCCAAAAGTAGCAATTCCACTGACACTGGCAGGGAAATTTTTTTTAGAAATTTTGGCATAGGGTTTCTATTTCTCATCTCTATTCTACCTTTTGGAGCTAAACACTAAAGAGATCAGAGATTGTCTGGAAAGCCCACATATTGGCAGAAGGCTGCATCCTTCTCTTCTTCTGTTCCAAGCTCTTTTGGAGGACCTCCAAAAGGTGGACTACTCATCTATTTGTTGTCCTTCCAGTTTCATAATTAAATATTCTTGGGAAGATCTGGCTTAAATGAGTATCACAAGGAGCTCCCTATAAGCTCATTTTTCTTTTATCATTTCTCACTGTTTTGTAATGAATATTATTAATAATCTTCTAACATCACCCTTTATATTTCACAGGTGATTTATATTCTGAGCTGACTGTTGCCCTTATTTGTAGTATCCTGCTCAAGATCAAATGTTACCTGGATTGGCCTTCTCATTGTGTTTATTGATTTGCACTGGTTACGATAATGTAGGAAATGGGTAATAGTTCATGTTGAGGGCTGATTTTTTAAATTCATTTCACATTTTTTCTGAGTCAATTAGTAACTTAAGTATATATAGTTTGGAGGTATTTTGATTACAAGTACTATATTATTTTTCTTCTTTTAAATTATCTTTATTTTGGTCTTATAATAAATCAAGATCTGGCTGCATAGAGAACTGATTGAGAAAAGATTTTCATTTTTCATATTGCTGTTTAGTTGTTTCCTTTCAGTTATAGTCAATTTCACTCTTTTTGGGGGGGTAATGTTATTTGGTTCTCATTAAGGCCAATATATCCCACTTCCCCTTTTAAAGAAAGCATTTGTGATATCTAGGCATTGGGTTCATGTGTGTCATATAATGTGTTCATAATGAGGAAATAGTTAGTCCTTTAATCTGGCAGCTAAAATAATAATATTTGGTGCCAGGGGTTAAGTTTATAATAAACATATTAGGTGTACTTGGATAACGTACATAAATACAATCCCATTCATGTGAAATAAAGATTTCAGCAAATGTAGATGCCATATAAGAAAACTTCTTCAGTTAGAGCTGTTCAAAAGTAAAATAGCCTTACCAGGAGGTAGTGAGCTGTTCAGAATTGGAAGCTTTTAAGCAGAGGTTGACAGGTATATTGTGGAAAGAATTCTTGTTCAGCTACAAGTAGGAGTAGATGACTTAGCTAGACCAATCATGATATTTCATTCATGATTCACTCCTTTCTAGCTAAACAGATTAAGTCATAATATATTAGGATCTTAGATGTATTTACTTTTTAAATATATTTATATTGATAAATTTTGTATTTACAAAACTTAAATTTCTTCCTGAATCTGTCCATCTATCCTGTACTGCAGAGCTATTTCAAATATATATATTTTTTAAGTTAAGAAGAAGAAGGAAAGGAAATAAAATGAGAAGGGGAATAGTCATTAAAACTGATCACTACATCAGAAAAACATGACTCTACATACAATTTTGACTGTTGACTACTGATCTTTGTAAAGAAATAAGGGGAAGTATCTTCTCAACTCTTTTCTTAAGATCATAGATTTATGCTATGAATCTAGTCTTGCCAATTTTTATTTTATAGATGAAGAAATTGATGCTGAGAGAGGTAAAATAATTTGCATTAGGCCACACAGATAGTTGGTGACAAAGTTGAGATCTGAAATGAGATCTCTTGACTCCAAAGCAAGCTGATTATCCATGTTGTCTGTAATCTGTCTTCCACATGACAGCACTTCAAATATTTGCTAATAAGTGTTATCTTCCCATTAATTCTTCTCTTTTCCATACTGACCATCCTTAGCTGCTTCCACTTACCAAAAGAGATTCTAAGTTGTCAAGTTTCCTACTTAAAATATGGCACTAAAATCTGAGTAAATCTGTAATTTGAAAATATATGTTGGGGAATAGTGTGAATTAAGATTGAAAAAATATATAGATTACAGATTATGAAGCACCTTAACAGCCATACTAAAGTCATGACATTCATAAAACATGTCTTCTGAGTAGGCACTTCCCACCCCCACCCTCCTTTTTAGTTTCCTTTTACTTGTTTTTCCCTACTAAAATATAATTTGCTTGAAGGCAGAGATGACCATTTTGTTTGAATTTGTGTTCTCAGAGTCTAGTATAGTGCCTGGAACATAATAAACACTTAAATGCTTCTTGTCAATCTGTAACCAGCAATGGAGAGCCATAGAAACTTTGGAAGTGTGAAATATCATTATCAGATTGGTAATCAGGAAGGTTGATCTGAAAATGGTGCATAAAATATATTAAAGGAGTAGGGACTAGAATCATAAAGACTGCTTATGAGGACTTATCAATTTGGCAATTTATAAAATCTTATCAGTTTCATTTTGTCAGATTTGTCCTATCATTCTTGCCTTTTGAGATATTCTTGGATTCTAGTTCTGTCATTCAACATATTGGCTATCAGTCCCAGCTTTGCATCATCTGCTAATTTGAAAAGTGAGCCATTTGTGTTGTTATTCAAGTTATTGATAAGTGTTCAAGAGAACAGGATAGGGGACAAAGCCCTGAGGCAGGCTTCTCATCAACATAAAGAACAATTTTTTCTTTGCTTTCAGTTGGTCAATCCACTATGGACCCACTCAGCTGTGGTATACAAGCTTCTTGGTATTGCTATCATTTTTAATCCTGGAGTTTTTAATCTTATTTTAATACATGTTACTTCTCTGTTTACAACTCCATTGTTTCCTTTACTAATTATTAAATGGAAGTCCACTTGATGCTCCATCATTTAAGTGCTCTGTGTGTTCTCCCTGCATATAGAAACTCACCATTATGTATATAATTTGAAACATAATCCTTCATTTATTTTTAGGATTCTTTTGTCCCAGGTGCATCTATACATCGGTTACCATTACCAGGCTTCCAATCTTGCTTATTTCTGAAAGATTCACTTTCAAGGACTATGTTTTAATGAGGGCAAAAATTATTATAGGCTGCTTTTTTTCTTTTCTTTCTGAAGTACCTGCCTTAGCTAAATAAAAACAAGCAGAATTTATGCCGAGATATTTTCTCTCTGCAGGAAAATATAATGGAAGTTATCAGAAATCAAGAGTTTTTACTCCTCCCAGCTGAGGAGCTCCATAAGCTGCTGGCCAGTGATGATGTGAATGTTCCTGATGAAGAAACCATCTTCCATGCTTTGATGATGTGGGTTAAGTATGACACACAGAGGAGATGCAGTGACCTAAGTATGCTTCTTGCCTTTATAAGACTGCCACTGCTTCCACCTCAGGTAATTTGATGTGACTGTCTTAATTGATATGCAAAATTTCATAGTCAACAGTTAACATTTTACTCAAATGTTAACAATCCATTATCCAAATAAATTAGCTCATAATCCATTAATTCAATTTTTCTTGTAATTAATTTTTATTGTCTGAAAACATATTTAGCTAGCATCACCTGGAGTCACGTTATCATTCTTTGACTGATATAACATATTCTGTTTGTCTTCTGTTTCCCTCTGGGGTACATTTTCTGCATTTCAGCCATTTGTAGAGAAAATTTATTTATTTTTCCTGATTAGAAGGGAGATATAGAAATAGTGAATTCTCCAAATGCAAACTGTTTCATAGTCTATATCTTTTTTCTCAATAAGAAGTCAGGAAGTAGATAATCAGGAAATAGGGTAGTAACATACAGTTTTATAGTATTTGGAAAATTTAGTCATAGTTCGATCTATAGGATTTTTTTTAAAAAAGAGTTCATAAAGGCATATTAATAATATTGGTAATGGCTTTATTTGACAATGTTCTAAGTAAAGAAAGATTTGGAAATTAAAAAAAAGACTGTATTACCTCGCAAATAAAAATTTTTTAAAAATCTTCATTACTTTTATAGGCAAAGAAACATAAATGGTTGCCCAAACCACTATATCTCCTGGTTTTCATGTCAGATGAAGTTGTCATGCAGGTGGATAGCTGTAGCCAAAGAGAACATGTCTTGCAATGTTCCCCAGTATGAGTAAGTGGTATGATCTAGGTACTTCCTCCATGCTACTGAAAGACACATCAATATGAAAGAATCTTATTCAAGAATAGGAGAAACTAGCCTACCATTTTCATCTCTTGTTAGACAAAGGTACATTTATAATCTCAATGGATCTCCCTTCATTATGGTTTTTCCCAGCCTTTCAATGTGGGGAGAGGGGTCCTTCAAAATGAGCTTTTTAGGGTTTTGTTGTATCCAGAAAGCATTGTTTTTTATTTGTTTTTAGCTTTTGAGACTACAGATTATAGCTATTTCTGGCGGAAAACATCTTTACCCTTGACTTAAGGGAAAATTGGGAGGTTTCTTAGTAAAGATAAAATCTTTTCATTTCTTGTCTCTGTGTTACAAAAGTAGATGAACTTCTATGATTTGAACTTTGATATGATAGTAAATATAGATAACAAATAGGATGAAAATTCAGGTCTATTTTCCATGACCAGTAATGTAGAAGGGAGCTTATACTGTGGGCAAATTTGTGCGAATAGTTAGGGTAGAAAAGTAGAAAGTATTAGGAATATTAAAGTTTCCTGATCCACTAAGAGTATTAAAAAACTACTGGATTTATGTGACAATAAGATGTAATTATGCAAGATTTTTTTCCTTATATGTGGAGAGAATAGTTATGTGTTCCATATTAAATTCATGAAAGCTCAATCTTGATAATGTTAAAAGGAAGAAAAAAATGAGATAAAATATTAAGTAAAATGGATTTGGGGAGAGGTAGAATCAAAGCAAAACTGGAGACATGAACATTATGACCATAGGACTGATGGAACTTAGGCTAGGATCTCAAATAGCTTTCAAATGACAATGACAGGGGCAGCTAGGTGGTGCAGTGGATAGAGCGCCAGCCCTGAAGTCAGGAGGACCTGAGTTCAAATCCGGCCTCAGACCAAACACTTGACACTTACTAGCTGTGTGACCCTGGGCAAGTCACTTAACCCCAATTGCCTAAAAGCAAAAAAAAATGACAATGATATCATATTCTTGTCTTTAAAAATCATTGGGCAGCTCACCTAACAATCTTAGAAAAAAAATTCAATTACAATCATTTTTTTCAGCTTTATCTCCTCATATATTTAGTCAGGATGTCTGCAGATGATTAATCTTAAAGGGTACATAATAACTTTCAATATTCTCCCTAATACTGCAATTGGTCATGTATTTCATACAACTTTGAAAACTAGTGATATAAAAAAGGAAAAACATGCCATTGCTCATAATTACATAAAAAAGCTGATTTCAGGAAAATATATAATAACCAAAGAAGAAATAAAAAAGACAAAGTCATTAGTGACTACTTTGTCCTCTTCAAATGGGGCAGCTGATATTGAAGAGTAATTGTTTGACTTTGCTATAGAAAAAAAAAAAGACAAAATTGCACAATGGAAGGAAAAGGATAATTGAACTGATGGTATAGGAAAAGAAAAATGAATCCTATTAACATTAAAAATAAATGATGGATAGAATTTGACTTAATATCTTCCTTGCACTGCTTGGCTACTCTAGATTTCCAAATCTTAACTGGATTGCGTGAAACTGTGCCCATAATTGATATTTCAGAAAGTATTACAGTGTCTGGAATTGTATTCCTAATGGATGCCAGGTCATACATATTTGTCTCCCATGAGATCCACTGGAATAGCTTATGTAATTTTCTAGTTTCTGTCCTATCAGCAGAATGATGGGAAAAGGCATGGTAGCTCAGTCAGATTAATAATATGTGACAAATTCAAAAGTTATGACTTTTAATTCTCTGCATTGCATTTAGTGATTTGCATGACACTTATCTGTTCCTCAATTTTTATCTCAAGATCTATTAAAATTATATAAATGAATTAAAATCATGTTACTTAGTCTTCTTATAAACAAAAAATCGGAAGATGAACATACTAATTATATGCTACATGTGTATGCATGTGTGTATAAACATGTCTGTAAGCATACATGTGATAAAAGATGCTCAGAGAAATGTAATCTGATCACATTCAGAGACTGACAGCAATAGCATGGACAAATTGATAAACTTTACCTTGATATGATTCTTGAAATTTGGTAAGATTCCTCTCTTTTGAAAAGACAACATCGATCCTCAAGTGTTATTATGGTTAAATAGATTTAGAAACGAATGACAGATTCCTTGAGTGTTGACTAACAGATATTGCCAACCTTGAAGGAAGATTCTAACAAAGTACTACAGGTCTCTATAAATGACTCTATTCAATTCTACAGTAACAACAACTTGAATTAAAATGTAAATGATATGCTTATCAAATTTACAAATGACATGATTTTCAGAGGGGAGTGCTAACGTGTAGGATAATATGAGTCTCAAAAAAATAAAGAGTATAAATCTTTTTTTAAAAGCAAATACATTGAATAAGGTCCAATCTTGTATTTATTTAAAAAAAATTGCACAAGTGTGAAATTGATAAAATGTCACTAGAAGTGAAAACAAAACAGCAATTTTAATTCCTTGCAAATTCAGTAAGAGTGAACAATGTGATTGATAGAATGTTATAACAGAAGAAGTTATAGTTCCACTTCTGACTTCCATGGTCAAATCACTGCGTGTGGCATGTCAACGTTGTCAATAACTACCTACTGTGCATGTACAAGCTTGAAAACTTGGAGGCTTCTATTAAAATTTTATATTTCTAATACTTTTTTTTTAAAGTTTTGCATTCCAAATTCTCTTTTTCCCCTACTCCTCGAGGCAAACAATATCAATTATACATATGAAATCATGTAAAACGTATTTCCATATTAGCCATATTCCAAAAAAGAAGCAAGAAAAATAGAGAAAGTGAAAAAAATTATGTTTTAATTTGCATTGAGTTCATCAGTTCTCTCTCTGAAATTGAATAGCATTTATCATCATAAGTCTTTTGAAACTGGAGTCTTATCTCTTCCCTCTCCCTTACCCTATATGACCAAGAAGTTGTTAAGAACTCTTGAAGCTTTCAGTTACTACTTCCCCAGACCTTACCCTTCCAACCTTCAGGGTTAGCATTACGGTTACCTCAAACCCTCATTCCCTTACCTGGCTTGTTGCTGTAGATGCCTAGTTTTCCCAAACACATTCTCTATCTTATCCAAAATAGAACTGGCTCCAGCTAGATAACCATATGGTGAAGCTCTTCAACTTACTTAAAAGGCCTGTAAGTTTCACCTTCCTCTTCTTGGCTTCAGCAATCTTAAGGGAAATAGATGACTATAGAAGGGAGTGGAGCCAATGATCTTTTGATTTTAAAAGGTCCAGAGGGCTCTTTGGCATCCCAGTGTTTCAGAGATCAGGTTAGCATCCAGTGCAGTATCAGTGTGCAGAAATATGAAAAGAATTAGCACCACCATCTACCCACCTTGTTATCCTATCTTTTTTTAGTCTAGACCTTGAGAAACAAGGAGTAACTTTTGGGAGTGACCTAATCCAGAGGTACTTGAGAAGCAGACTTATATGTCAGTCATGCTACATCTGAATATGAGACTGGTGGGACCAGAGTTGTATAGAAACTGAGCTAAGTGTTGAACATCCCAAGGGCAGAGATTGAAGTGGTATATGTGGATTATGCCCCACTTCCCGAAGTATTAGGGGAAATATTTTTTGTTTTATTTTTCTTGCTATATTTTTAAAGTAAAAACTGAGTGGCGAGTGCTTAAATGGAACTGGAAGTGTGAGTCACAGGCCCCTCAAAGATCAGGGTTTGAGCTGATGTGGAGAAAAGAACACTCACAAAACTCTCAGGATACCTAAGAACCCAAGGGGAAGATAGTTTAGCAGGCCTGGCCTTCAGAGAGAGGAGGCAAAGCCGACATGTTATAGTAAACTCTGCTTGAAATATTTTTAATCAATGGCAAAATAAAAAGTGTTTAGAAGACTTCCCGAAGTGTTGAATTTCAAAAAAAATAAGTGTTAAGTTACTCTGGGCTGAATTTATCCTAGACAAAGTGGTAATGATTTTTTTAAAGGTTCTTTCCCCTAGTAATAGAAGAGAGAGGGAGAAGAAAAGTCTTCAGCCATTTACCACATTGGCAATGCAGTGATTGATCAGACACCTGTACCATAAAGTTTCTGTTGTCTACAAAAATTATAGCCACAACTTAGAAACCTAATGAAAAGGCAAGCCAAATGACATGGAACAAATCAATATCAAAAGATTCTTCATAAATAATCACCTATGATTTATGTGTTTCGTTTCTTTCTTGAGTTATTTATATATTTTGTTTGATTTTACTTCCCAA